GGATGAAGTCCACGGGCTTCAACCCGATTGCATATGCTGTTCTGGCTGGGCAGACATTGATGGTGGACCCGGTATCAACAAGTACCACCGGTATCCACTTATCTCTACATTCTACGGAAATGTAGAGGGGTTTGTTGTGATTTGTGCCCTCAGGCGACAGTTCTTTGTCTGAAAAGGTTAATGCCGGGGAACCTCCTCTCGGAAAAACCAGCCCAACCAGCTGTTCCGGTGTAGTATCTATAGAGAGTTTGGACTTGTACATAGCAGATAAGACAGCTTGTCTCTGTACTCGCGATGCCATAAGCAGTCCCCAGATGGAGATGTCTGCTTGTATCTTCTTCAGCTGTTTCAGTACAGCTTCCTCTTCGATCTGCTTCTCCTTCTATTTCTCAGCTTCTTTATCCTTCCCACATGCCTCGGGTTGGTCTAGGTGCGGGGGCTTGAAGTACCGCCCGCTTCTTGTCATGTGGTCAACCTCATCGAGGTACCAAGTGTCATCTGGTTGATTGCTTCCCCAGTCTTCGTCTGTGTGGGCAAGACATAAGTCATCGTCTTCCCACCACATTCCGTTAGCATCCAAAAGGCACCTGTCCAGCTCGGACATGTTTGTACTCACAGCACTTTCAGCCTGCATGCTTACAGCCTCCTCTTTTCTTGTGCGCGCGGCACCTTCGATCCCCTCATGGATTTTGGCTTTCCCGGTTCTCTCAGAACCCTGTTGTTCTACCTGCGTCAGTGCAGTTTGTTGTTCAACTTTTCCTGCATTCACAATGCTTCCGTCCTGAGCGAAATTCTTTGTACCGGCGCTCTCCGGCAATGCACTCTGATTCTCGGCCCTTCTAGCCATCACTGGTACTCTCGCCCCTGTTTGGCCTTGTTCTGGTTGAAATTCTACAATGTCCGGTTGATCGTCTAACCATCCGGTAGCTTCTGCCGACTCCTCATATTCAAACCAGTTGACTGCCGCATCTCCTGATTCTTGGTCACTGAAAAACTGGAGGTTGGCAAGGCCCTCTTCTACAACCGTCAAATTGTCCGTTCCTTGTTCAAATCTGTCCCCCTGAATCGCACATAATTCTGCTTCTTCTGGCAGCCCTACACTTAGCTCAGATTGGCCCACCAATAGGATGTACTCACTTGGGTCGTAGGCTTCCCCAGCAAAATTTCCAGACTGTTCAAACCCTGCCTCGACCATTCTATCCCCCTCTGCAACCCCTGCTACGCTATCTTCCACAGTCACCACCGCTGGTTCAGGTTGGGTTGTAGAGATGTCTAACATGCACAAAAGGTCAGTGCAGTCGGGAAGGAGCACCTCCGACTTGGGTAGATGGGTAGGAGTAATATAGATGCTAGGATCGTAAGACACGACCCCAATATGGATAAGATTGACTCTTTTGGGAGGTGGAGTTTGGTTGTGTGTAGGGAGGGGGTTGGTTGTGACGTTGGGTTTTTCTGGTGGCAAAATCACATTTTTGTCAACGAGGTCTTGAATCTCGTGACACAGCCTGAAACATTGGTCAGTATCATG